ATGTATCTTCCTGTTTCACTAATTTTCTTAGTAAATTAATATCCTTTGTAATGCGTATATGTTTCTTCTTTTCCTTCACCACTGTTTGCCTGTCCTTCATGGTATGGTCCATTATCCCTAGTCCATTATTTATTTTTTCTCACTCACTTATAGATGATCATCTTCAATCTCAGTTCTCTACCAGATGCCTGGGAAAAAAGTGAGTCTTCTGCGCGCAATGCCTTAGCTGTTTTCTACAATACGTTTTTTCTGGATAGACAACGGAATCTGTTGAAACCGCTTTTCTAGTAGTCACAGTTAAAGGATCACAGTTCCAAGTGCTCTAATTATCACTGTAATTAATTTGACCTTTATTTTTCTAGTTCCTTTCAATATTTCTCTAAATTCTCCATATTACTTATATGAAGGATATATATGTGAAGTGAGTGGAATGATGCTTTTAAGTGTATTTAGAGTGGTACTCCAGAGAGTTTGCGCAATTATAATGTATTTCATTATATTTCATATTTATTCAAACTCCCTTATATTCGCATAAAAATTCCGTAACATTACTGTTATTCCTTATCATTTGTAGGAAATTCTTAATATTTGAAAGGGAAGGCCTACGTGTTTGGAAACACGTATTTATTGTATGTAAAGGTAAAAAACATAGAGGAAGCCTTGATTTTTTATAGAAAACAACATAAGGAAAAAGATATTCTGAAATATTGAAACATTGAAATATATCTGAAATATTGAAAAATGATAAGATGTCGTGATAAGGCTAAGTCTAAGTTTAAAGATTAGAGATATAAAAATACAGATTTTTGAACAAATGTTGAAGGACTATAAGGTGAAGGGTTTTTAAAAATTTAACATAACAATTGTCTAATCTATGACTTTTCTTTTTTACTTATTTTTATTCTTAAAAAAATGTCATAATTTTTTTATCAAAATTAACTTAAGAAAGAGAATTGAAAGAGAAGAGAATACAATCAGTTCAAAATAATTTATCATAGTGTAAAATATTTTTCAACAACATCGATCATATTTCGTCCTTCGCTCGGAATTCATCTCCTTAGGCTCAGTTATAAACCTCGTTTTATTTAACACCTCAAACACCACTAATAAACTCCTAACTGGTTGTAACTGGCATTCACCTATACTTCGCCATATCACCTTAATCGCTTTTATCATACACTTCAGAAATTATAAAATCGCAACCTCTCTCATAGTCACTCTCAAAAATTCTACAACTCCCTCTTAATGCTCCCTCAATATTCATTATTATTCACTGATTCATTATTATCAAAGAAAGCTTATTGTAAATTATGGCCCGTAAGTAAGATCTATTTGGTCCACAGATTTCGTTATAAATAACCCCCACTGAATCCATATGATAATGTATGGTAATTTAATGCATTCCACACGTCCAGCCTTGATCTGGTTCTTGGCCGACGCACTATATGTGAAAATAAGCCGCAATGGTGAAAATAGAATATTTCCGATGCGCAATAATTTTTATAACAGCGCTTTCTGTTATTTTTCTGCTATTTGTTCTGCGATTTTGCTTTTACTCGAATAATAATAACCTTTTTACAAGAAAATTAAAAGTTCATCTCTTTCTTCCTCTTCTTTTTCCAAAAACTCTCACCATTACTGGTTAGGCTGACTCCACTGGCTACAAGGGTAAGGCGTTTCCAAGCGGCGCGGTCTGATGCCATCGTTGATCAGTTCATCTCTTGATTTATGTTAATTTAACTAAGCTATTATGGCACTAATGAAGTGGGGTTAAATGGTTTATTTTTTTTATAGAAAAATTAAAACTGAATAATTGAAGCAAATGGTTAGCTAGTCTATGAAATAAAAGACAGTCAATTATGAACTTCTTTAAGGGCTCACAATAATAGAAAATTATTTAATTTCGCAAAAATATGCTCCAATATCTATATTAAAGCATAGTATCTTTTTTGTCCCCAACTCCCAACCCCCCTCACTCTCCCCCACCCCCCACCCATCCCATACATATACCCAAAAAAATGAAAGACGAATAGTTCATCTGATAAAGCTCCAGCTGCGTTTTAGTTTATACCACGATTCAGGAGCTGCGTTTTAGCGTGGGTGCAATCACTATCATCGTGAAAAAAATATCAAAAATATATCAATGAAGATCGATAACAGAAAAACCGCGCATATCGAGGATAATAAAAATTCTCAAATAACTATTAAAATAATAAAAAAAAAATATTCAAATTCTTAAAATTCTTTTCGTAAATTAAATTTGCTTATTAAATTTCCTTAAGAGTTTTCTAAACGGCGATTTCTCGAGGTATTTCCGCTGGACTTTGAAAATTCCTCGAAATTCCTCGGGGAAAATAAATAGAAAACCGCGAATCCAATATTCAATCCCCTCTTACCTCTCCACGCTAATAATTAGCTAAAATTTGTTTTACCTCGCAAAGCCAAAATGCGGATCCTGACGGACGCTGCGTTTTTGAGTTGCCAGGCAAAGTCCGAAACCATTTTCGATTGAAAGGAATGTATTGAAAATATTTCGTCAAGGGGGGAGGGGGGGATGTGAGGGAAGAGGGGTGGTAGTGCGCTTATGGATTGTCTGATGTGTTACTATGTTCAGAAGTTAAGAAGTAGTCATAGATCCCTCAAAGTAAAAAAAGAAACCACGTGCCAAACAGCCGTCAGTCTAAATTTCTTGGCCTACTATGAGGTTCATATGCAAAATGATGGGGCGAGATGATTTGCGAAGGGAAGAGGGAGGTAAAGGATGGAGGCACGGTCCATAAATCACTCTGTATCAAATAACATGGAGGTGTTAAGTGTTGAAATTATCGTATCCTTTATCCTAACCCTTGTTATTAATGCAAGCACATGGCGTTGTCGTCCTATTTGGCTGGTTTTCAGTAAATAAATAAAATTGCTTATTTTTTTTTTTCTAGCGCCTCTCATCATAACTGGTCAAGCTGGCTCGGTAATTTAATAAGACATTTTGTTTAATAAGCTAAGTAATCTGGTGCCACCTGCGATATTCTTTTTTCCACTTTCTAAGTCCATATATCGCTGGTACTTCTGTATGTTCAAAATCTTTCCTAACTGTGTTGTTCCAGGTCTTGATTGGCCTACCTCGCTTTTGACGCCATTCATCACACGGTTTAGCAAGTAGCGAAATATGTGTCAGTTCCTGTGGTGGACAACGGAGAACGCCCTAACTAGCGAACGCGATGCTCTGTGATAACATTATTAATACAAGTGGTATTTGAGCGAAGATGAATACAATCATGTGCGACTTTATCCATTCAACGAATCCGTAAAATGCACCTTAGATATGAGTGTTCAAAAGTTGATAAATTCTTATAGGACTTGGCCTCTATGAAAGTTAAGCGTTTCCAAGCCATTACTACACCTAAAATTGACGTTCATATATGTATCGCTAGGCCGTTCGTCGGTTCAAATTTTCTTAATTGGTCGAAAATCGTATTTTTTCTTATAGTTAGGGATTTTATAGGGAATTAGCCATTTGCGAGATATGCATTAATTCTTGTGACGAGCTGGCTTAACTAGTTAACGATACCACTCATGCTAGTCCTCTCTACGTTTAGGAGATTTGCATGATCCTTATCCTTTATCTTCATGTCGTCCACTCTAACCGCTCATAGACGTTTTATAGACGTTCAGTAGATATTTTTATTCTTTCTGAAATGAAATTTTAGATCTTTTTGGATCTTTAAGGTTTCTTTTTCACCAAATTTCATCAAATAAACGAAAAAATACCGACAAATTTATATTCAAGTACATCTCAACAACATTTAAATAATCTATTATATTTTTACAAATCGAATTAACTAAAAGTCAATACGAAGAATTAAAATAAGAAAAAAATTCTACAAAAATTAGTAAAAATTGGAAAAATAACTGATTGAGAAATTAGCCATTTCTCTGAAAAAAAAAAAGTATAATTAAACTTAAAATTAATTAAAATTTTTTCCAACAATTGCTATTCAATTGCAATTTTTCCTAACAACGCACATATAAAGTCAATAATATAAAAAACACAAATATAAACAATTTTTAAAAATCTTAGTGGAAAAAAAAAGTGAAAATGATAAGAAAATGAGAAGACTGCACAAGCTGGAGACCATTCAAAAAAATTGAGCAATTAAATTGTTACAATAATCATTTTCCAATTATTATTTACTTTTTTCTTTCAATGTTTTGGCGAAACCAAGCTGAAATCAAAAAAAAAAAAAAATATTCAAAAAATGTTAAAAAATATGATTAAAAATGAAAAAATTGAACAAATCAACAAAACGAATAAGAAATTACCTAAAATCACCTAAAAATTTAATAATTTTTTATTCTTATTGCCTTGAAATTTTATTAATAAACTATTAATATTTTTAATTAAAGATTTGAATCTTTGGAGATGACATTTCTTTTTTCACCAAAATGAGAATTTTAGCTTAGCTACAAGATAATATCATCATTTATTTTTAATATTCTCTATAAATAAAATTTATATATATATAAATAAAAATAAAATTTAAGTTTTTAAGAGGGTTTATCCGTGGTGTACTAGAAGAGTTCCACAGGAAGAGTTTTTTCGTGATTTAGACAATTTTTCTCTAAAGATTTTTTTTTTAAATTTTATTAGAAAGTACCTCAGCATACGTGAAACTAATTAAATTTTATTTTATAAAATTTCATTTTTTAAAATTTAAAATTTTTAAAATGTCCAAAAAAAATGTTGAAAATGTTTGGAAAATACGATTGAAAGCTATAAAGTATTGTAAATGAACCATTAAATCTCATATTTAAATACGCCCGTATCGAAATAAAAAAAAATCTCAAATGACCATCTGCCTAAATAACGCTTAATAATTCATGGTACCAGTCAAGCCTAAACAAACATAAATTTTAAGAACCATAAAATTTCTTCCAGTTATATCTCATTTTTCTCGGATTTTCCTCCCTGTTAAAATGAAATTTTTACTAAAATATAGATGAAATTACATTTTAGAAAAGATTTTTTGGCATTTTCCTCTAACTGCCCACGCAAATTGACTTAGATCCGTTTTCTTCCAGATTTCACTATCCAATTCTACACCATTGTTACTCTCGATAACGTGAAGTTCATTATCACTATCGACCACGGCCAGTTCAGGACCCCTGAAGTTTTACTGTATAATAAAAAAAAAAAATGAAAAATTCTACTAAATAAAATAAATGAAAAATGAAATATCATGACAGGCAAAAGCTGTGATTTCCAAAATTAATCAAATTTTGATTAATTCAACAAATTTTAATTAACTAATTACTACCTGGCAAAAAGGACGGATTCGATTGAAAATGCCAAACCTAATATTTAAAGAAGCAGTAGAATTCGGTTCAAAGCTAAATCTCGGTTTACCATCCCTACAATGAAACATAAATGTGCAATCAAGATCAATCGCTATTTGCAGTAACGCTTGAGTACAACCATTGTCCGCAAATAAATAAGTGGGTAATCTTGGCTGAATGTAATTAAATGACCTGAAAAATAAACAACGCCGTTGTGTAGATAAATAATTTTTCTTATATATATATATATATTTTCTTATATATATATAATTATATTAAAAAATAAAATAATAATTAATTAAAAAAGGAACTAACGGTGAAGAATTGATATTAATATTATTCGCCGAAATATTCATATGTGGACTGGTTAATGATGATCCTTGGCTATTATTTCTCGAATTCGATGTCCATGATTTATCGCGCATATGATTTTGATCTTTTACAGCATTGTTCTATAAATAATGATAATAAAATGATAATCATGATATGTTGAATAACTCTATTCTAATTATTTCTTTCAAGCTAAACAATCACCTAAACAGTAATGATCTCAATAATGTAATGATTAGTAGCCCTAGCCAAAGGCTTGTTGGCTAAATATATTTGGAAATGAGAGAACTGCGTCCCCTAAGAAATGATCCAATTGCCTGTGACAACTGCCAAAATACACATGGAGACCTTAGTATCAGAGGCATTAATATGAATGATATGACCCTATATGAAGAAAATAAAAAATCCGTCACTAAATATTTGAAAAAGATTTGGAATATCATTTCGACTGTTGGATATCGCTTCTGCCTTAGATCCATTGGCTAAGATGGTCATACGACAACCAAAGAAGATAATTTGACCACCTAAAGTAATTCAAAAACGTACATATCCATGTAAGTACGGTAGGTGCTGATTGACCAGATAGGATATAACTGATACTGATAATTGATAACTGGTATGATATGAAAAGACGTTTTAATCAAATGTCCCTGTGGATATACGAAAGAGAAAAAGGTCCTTTGTAACTCTCAAATATCGTTGAATTGAGAGGTTTAATATCTTAGGCTACTGTCCAAGTACCATCAGTTTAATCAATAATCAGAGAATGCTGTTAGAGGATCGCTGAGGAAAAAAGATCAGATTAATTTTTTAAATTCATTAAAACCAACTAAAACCTATATGAAAATTTAGTTTAAAATTAGTTTGCATTATTGTAGAAAAATAAAACCAGTAAAAAATATGATATATGGCGGTTCTTCGAACCGCAGTTGATCTACCCACATGTTTGTTATATAGGCTGCAGTCTATCTAGTAGCCATGAATAGGCATTCATGAACATATAATGACTTATATACTGACATGTATTGCCTATCTCGCAAATAAAAAATACCCCAATAAATATTTTTTAAAAAAATCATTCTAAGGGAAAACAGAAAAGGGAATATTTAGACCTTCAATGCTTCGAACAGCCCTCTGGAAAATCGCATAATGAAATGCAAAACTCCGTCGTCCTATGATAGTACCATTAGTTAATAATTAATAACTGGGATTTTTTCAAAAATATGTCGAAAAAAAACCTCGTCAAAATCTTTTAATCCTTTTTCTTCATCAACAGAGAAACCAGCAGTAATATTTATAACTTCAGAACTACGAGGAATTGTCGAAAGAAAATTCATTGATCGTTTCTGAAAAACAAAAAAATATGTTTGATTATCTGATACTAATAGCAGCAAGCATACTGTAACTAAGGAACCTACATGGTAGTAGTACCATGATAACTCATCTATCTGCACTTCTATCGCCAAGTGATTGCTTGGCAAAAATTTCTAATCGTATTAAGACGGCATCGAATTTTAAAGAAACGAGAAAAAAATTAAAAAAAAGATTGATTTTATAATAAAAATATTGTAAAAAATAAATAAGAAAATTCAAGGTCAAATTTTTAATTTAAAATTTTAATTCAATTCAATTAAAATTGACAACTCATAGAAAACGCAGAAAACAGCATCCCCTAAGATCCTTCAACTATCTCAAATTAAAAAATTCGGGAACAATGAGCGCATTTCAAACCGAATTATTGAAATATCTCAATGATACAAATATCAATGATTTTTCTGCAACGACAAATGAATACTGGTCCAAAATAAAGGAATGTCTCCGAAAGTCGGCCCCACTACAACGTTAGGACATACTAGTAGGAAATGTGCTATTTGGGTATCAGAAGCAACTGTCCAACTATCTGCCAAAGCACGAGTATCAGGTCCTGACTAACGGATGCAACTATGACTCGAAGATTTGCATCGAAAGCAGCATGACGGAACAGAAATCACTATTTGAATGATATGCCTTTGAGAATGGAGACGGCTGCTCGATTAGGCGATAATAGGAAACTATTCCACCTTCTTCATAAAGCAACTATGACTCGGGGAACGATCAGTGAAATGGTAAGAGACAGCAATGGCGAACTAATCAAAAGTATTAAGGATCGCCTCATAAGATGGAAAGAATCCAAGTCCAAACTTAACCATGAAGCACCATCTGTTGTCCCCGATATAGCTGATACGCTTGCGGAAGCATACGCTTGCAATTGCGAGCCTCCAACAGAAGAAGAAATTATTTTGCGTTATCCATAAGCTTAAGGCCAATAAAACTCCAGGAGAAGATTAACTCGGGCTGAGTTTTTTAAATGTTGTCAATCGTCCTTCAACAAATGTACTCTCCTGTATGGAAAAAAGAAATATTACCAGATGATTGGAGCAAAGCAATTCTGCTCCCAGTTCTTAAGAAAGGTGATAGGATATATTGCGACAATTATCGAGCCTATTAGACGTCTCAGCGAAAATTTTGGCTTCCCTGCTACTCAACAGACTTATGAAAGTACGGGACAACAGGATGCGCCCTAATGAAGCTGGTTTCAGACAGAGGCGCAGTTGTTTCTGGCCAGATATTCACGTTAAGAAGGGTGTTGGAATATCGCTTCAGATATTTATAATAACCCACTGTTACGTGTTTCTTCGACTTTGTGCTGCTTTTGATTCATTTCATAGAGCGGCGCTTTGGAGAGTGATGGTGTTTCAGAGAAAATTATTTGATTCATAAAGGCATTTTATGAGCGCATAAGGTCTGTGTATATGAGGAACTGACAGACTCCTTCGAAATAAGAGCTTGTGTTCATCAAGGATGCGTCCCTACAATATTCAACTATGCGATAGGCTGAGTGACGGACACCGATTGTCTGCACTCAAGGGGTGTCCAAATCAATCCAGAGCATCATATCACAGATCTTGAATACGCTGATGATGTAGTCCTTTTTGCTGACAGTTATGACGAAATGCACGTAATGCTAAATAACGTGTCAGAAATAATAGCAAGAATAGGACACAGGCTCAATGTATACAAAATGAAAGCCTTTTCGTCTTATATACAAAAAGCTAATAAAATGCCTCTTTTTGTAAATTTATTGCCGGCTAAGGAAGTGCCCGATTTTAAATACTTTGGGTCCACTCTAATACCAAATGGCCAGGCAAAACAGGATATTAAACTCGGATCACGGCAAGTAAAAATGCGTTTTTCCGCTTGGCGAAATCTTAATAAAGCCGTCGTGAAATTACTACTGAAACAAAAGTCCGCATCTATATAGCCGTGATTCGTTCGATTTTGCTATTTGGCTCTGAGACATGACCAATGAGAGTGGAGGATATTAAAAAGTTATCTGCTTTTGACCCCTCCTATCTAAGATATATGGATTAAGCGGATAAAATATCACATGATCGCATTCATCTTCGTTCAAATACCACTTGCATTAATAATGTTATTACAGAGCGTCGCTTTCGATGGTTAGGGCACATTCTCCGTAACAGGAATTGATGCATATTTCGTTATTTGCTAAACCGTGTGACAGTTGGCGTCAAAAGTGAGGTGGGCCAATCAAGACCTGGACTAATACGGTAAGAAAAGATTTTGAACGTATTGGTGGACCAGCAATATATGGACTTAGACGATGGAAAAAAGAATGGCTTCTATTATTGTCGACGGTGGCACCAGACCGCGCCGTTTGGAAGCGTCCTACCCTTGTAGCCGTTGAAGCCATCTTTACCAGTAATGGTGAAAGTTATTAGAAGAATAAGAAGAATTCAATTCAATTTAATTTATTTCACAAAATTTTCAATAAGAATTTTTAAAAAATTTCTAGAATTTCAAAAATTTTATTTTTAAATATTTTAAACAAATAATATAAACAAAATTATTAACTAAAAATACAAAATTATAAACAAATATAAAATTAATATAAAATAAATATAAAATTCGATAAATTAAATAAAAAATAAAATTTTTTCAAAAATTAGACTACTAAAAAAAAAAATTTTTTTTAAAATTTAAACCTCATTTTGTTTATGCTGTGAAAGAGCAGCTCGAACAGCATTTAAACTATCAGTAGCATTCGAAAAATCTTTACTTGAATTATCAGTTGATAACCGACTTCGTTTAACATATGAATGGATTGGAGTCTGGAAAAAATGAAAATAAAAATTTTGATTAATTAAATTTATAAAATAAAAAATTGGAGTTATAAAAATATTTATAAAAATAGTTGTGATGGCCAATTTCATTTAGCCGTCAAACTAGATTGATCCTTGTATTTTCGTTTAAGAAAATTCCAAGTCTTTCAATTATGATCTCAAACAGATCTCCGAAGATTTCCTCCCATTAGAAAACTAATGTCTAATAATATTGACGCTTAAAATTCGATATCAAAAATAGTAAAATAGTTGGAAATAGCTGTTAATCATCTTTAAGTACCATGATAACTCATCATTACCACTACAGATAATCAATTTAAAATATATAAAAACAGGTTTTCAATAAAAAATAAATCTTTTAGAATATATAAATAAACGAAACGAAGTGGAGTATGCGGACGGAAAAAAAAATGAGGATATTGCTAAAAAGATATTTGATAAAAGATAAGCATAACCGAGAAAATTATGATACAGAAAAGGATACTAAAAAAAGAAGAATTAACCTCATTCGAATCATTATCATCGAGTGGCGGATCATCACATAATAAATCATTTTTATTATCAGTATGATGATTCTCATCATAAATTGGTGAATTATTATCACTCGAAATACCAAGTTGTTTTTCTAGCCAACTTTGCGCTGAGCTTGTTGTCGTATTTACATCATCAATTGTACAATTATCAAATTGTATTGTTGAATTTTCCTGTATAATTGCACCAGTCTTTTTCGTATTTTGTTGCTTTTGTAATGCCGTCCAATCACTTCCTTTAAAATGTATCGCGCGCAAATGTCCCCACATTGTTTTCGTTGAACTATCTTTACGTTTTAATATTTTACCGCAATGTATACATTGTACGTTACCATCCGAATGCCGTAAAAAATGATCCCAAACAGTTGATGGCTTAAACGGTCGACGTGTACGACGATCTTCATTATTATTATGATTTGTTAATAATGCTGCTGAATTACTATTACTATTATTATTGATATGATGGTGATGATTTGATAACGATGATGATGAGACCATTTGTGAGATCATTTCGGCTGCTCCAACATTTTTAATAATCCCCCGTTGTGGTTGTTGGTTTGTTGAAACAAAACGATGATTGAGTTTTGTTGCTGACTGACTTGTTGTAGCGGTACTAATATTATTGGTACTATTACTTGAAATATTATTATTTCCATAAATTATTGAATTATTAGCATTTGAAGTACTCGGTAACATTTTTTTTTCTTTTTTTTCTAATATAAATATGTTCTCACTGAAAATTTTCAACTTTCTAAATTAAATTCAATTGAAATTGATAAGAAAAAAAAATGCATCATTTTGATAAATTTTGATAAATTTTTATAGAAAATTATAGTATGGAGCGACGAGAGTTTTTCGCTTATTTGAATTTCGCTAATCTGCTAATTTACATGGTTATCTGCTACATTCGTTTAAACTCGTTGCACATTTGGCGAAATTCGCGAACACCGCGAAAAATTGAAAAAAAAAAATGCATAAATAATTCGGAATGTTATTCATAACACATAAAAATCACATAGCATTCACGTTATTATAGAATAAATTAATAAAAAGGCGTTCGATATTTATATTTTTATTACTAATAATAATAATATTATTATTATTAATATTATTATTATTAATATTAATATTATTATTAATCATTATTATTATTGTTATTATTATTGCTATTATTATTATTATTATGTTATTATTACTATTGTTATTATCATTATTATTATTATTAATCATTATTATTAATAATATTATTACTATTATTATTATCATCAAATATTACTAATTTCATTGTTATTATATTTATTAATATCATTATCCTCATTAATAATATTAAAATTTAATTTAATTCTGTTAAGAGAGGAATATTTGTTTCATAATATTATTTAGACTATCATGATTGGATTTCGCGTGTGGAGAGGAAGAGAATGGGAGAAAAAATCTTATCAACTGACTGAGGGGAGATGAGTGGGGAGGGGGAAAGGAGGGGATGAAGGAGACGCTATTCTCGCTGTTCCTAATTCCCGCGACGCTCAATTATCATTTTCATTTCATTATCATTTTGAATTATCATTTTAACGTGAAATAAATAAATAATTAAAAAATTTTACTTCAAAATAATTTTTTAAATATTAAATTTTTTTTTTTTTTTTTTTTTTTTTTTTTTTTTTTTTTTTTTTTTTTTTTTTTTAAAAAAATAATTCTACAAAAAGCAAATAATTAGCGGGCGAGAAGAAATAACGCGGGCACCCGCGAAATTTCTATTATTTTTGATTATATAGAAAAGCGATAAGGAGGAATAAGAAAATACGAATGAAGCTCAGCCAGCTAGTTCGATTCGCTGAGGTGATGACGACGATGATGACGACGACGATGATGATTATTGAACAGAGCACCACTACTTACTATGCCTAATGCGCGGCTGCCTATATTTAAATAGACCGACACCCTCGCTCAATCGACTTTCCCTTTCATTCCATGTAATATTTCTCGTAAAATGTTCTCTTCCCTCTAATAACCTATTTTATAGTATTTCGCCGGGGTTTAAAAATACTTTAACGAGGGAATGAGAAGAGGGGGCGAGTAATAACGAATTAAATATTGATAAAATATTGAAAAAAATTAATGAAAAATTCATAAATAAGAAAAAAGTAAAAAAAATAAATTATACTAAATGAAAAAAATTAAAAATGAGGAAAAATAAAATATTTTTTGTAAAATCCAAATAGCATTGAAAATAATTTTAAAAAATTAAGTTTAATAAAAAAAATTAAAAATATTAAAAAAATAAAAAAATAAAAATAAAAAAATTGAAAAGGAATAAAAATAAATATAAAACAAATTAAAATATGTCTCAAAATTTACACCTCGTTTATGAAATAATTTTTATATAAAAATTATAATTATATTATTATTATATTATTTATAATTATTATATAATAATTTTTGATTTATTAATTTATTTAAATAATTTTAAAAAAGAAAACGTAAAAATTAACACATTTATCCTCTTGAACTGCGGTGAAAATTACTCACAAGCCTCTCAAATTACAAAGAATTCCTTAGAATCACAAATTAAATAAAGTTAAATAAAGTTAAATTAAATAAATAATAGAATTTTTTTTCTTTTTAGCTAAATTATTAATTTTATAATTCCTTATAAAAAAAAAACTACAAAGTTCAACTCCTCAACTTTAGAGTTAAACTGCAACATATGGAGGACTAATCTTCGCTTAAATTGATAAATTGCAGAATTGAATCTTATCAATGCTAACTGATTAATTTGACTTTTCTTCGTTCATTTACCTTCCTTACTATTTGTATTAATAAAAAATAGCGAAAAATAGCGAATTATAGCGAAAAAGGCTGAATTTCTTATTATAGTTTTAAGTAATCTGATTTTCAAGTTAAATCTAATCATTAAGCAGAAATTGTACTTCATCTGAACTGAATTTCAAAATAAATTTGGTTTCAGTTCGGCAGATCATCTATTATCTTGAATATAAAAATTTGCTATTTGTTTATGAGCGCTCACCATTTCTGGTGAGGCTTCTGGTGCAGAAGCACGTCGGGATTAGATGAATTCTGCCGAGGAGTTATTTGGCACTAAAAATACAGGTGGGCAGCCATCACTACTCGGATTTTCGCAAGATCGATTTTCTCCTGCCGAGAGAAGAATCCTGACATTGATTTGCTTCCAAATCTTCCAAATAATTTATTTCATATGAAAAATAATTCAAAAAAATTTGTTTCATAAAAAAAACTCTAAAAAATTTTATTCAATTTTAAATTTTTCTATTTTTTATTTTTCGTTTATCAAATTCAATCGTAAATTTTGTCTTTTTTTCTAAAAACTTTTAAAAAAGTGAATTTAATTAAAATGGTGAAATTTCTAATAAATTTTTTTCATTTTATTCAATTATAATTAAATATTTATTAATAATATTTATTATTTATTTGTTATTATTAAAATTAAAATTATTTTTAAATAAATGAATTTAATTTTTATTTATTTATATAAATCTATTTAATAGATTCTTAGAATTTATAATTTTAATATTATTTGAAATAATCACGCAATATAACATTTTTCTTCGATGGCGGACATTTGTGATGAATTCTTTTCAATACGAATTGAGGGAGATAAAAGGATCCTCGGCTTTCATCCGGATTTTATTATTAATGACAGGTTTACTCGCGTCGATCGAACATAAAAAATAAAATTTCATTTTTTCTTCCTCCATTTTTTAATAAAAAATATAATTAATACAAATATAATTCAAAATTAGAAAATTTATTCCGACAAAATTTTAAAATTAAAAATAAAATTTTTTAAATTTTTTTAAAAAATTTATTTTTATTATTTCTTATTATTCATTTTTAAATTTTTTTAATTTTTTATTTTTTTAAATTTTTGATAAAAATTTTGTAGTTTTATATTTTAAAAATGCAAAATAAAATACATTTGCGCGAAATTGAAAATCGCATAAAACATACGAAAAAAATAAAAGTAGTATTCGTAAAGAAAATACAATGAATTTATACTACCAATGGTGATCGTTGACGTGAACATGGATGTTGACGCAGTGATAACAGTGGTAATGGTAGAATGGTGATTATTGATAATAGAGAAGGGGGGAATGGAGTGAGGAAGTGGGGGGGGGGGGGGGGGGGGTCAAATAAAAATAAGTATAGGCAAAGAACAACATCAACAGCAAGCAATATAATATTGATAGAAATAAAAATATAGAAAAATGAAGAGAAATGAAAGATTTAGAGAGTGTGAAAAAGACCGCCTCGTTTAATTGAACGGTTAAGACGAATGAAAACCCGTGTGTAAAAGAGGGGAGAAGGAGAAGGGGGGGAGGGGGGGGGAAATATTCATATAGAATTGTATAATGCATATTTTTATTTGAATATTAAAATAAAAAGAGTGTATTAGACATGGAAAGGAAGAAAAATTATTGAGCACATCGGGCAATATAAGCAAATATGAATCGTGTTGCTGAAACGGGGCAGGGCAGCAGAACCACCACACCACCCATCACCCAGCAAAATACACGACTCAACACTCACTCAACTATTCACTCACTCACTTACTTACTTACTTACTTTACTCTATATAAAATACTCTTATTCTTCGACATTCATCCTTATATTCAATATTTTATTACATAAATAAATGAACTGCTAATATTAAACGGGGTTTGAACGGGGTTTAAGGAAGGGTGGATATTAGCTTAAAGAGAGGTTAAAGGTCGAAGATTAAGGATTTAGCTTAAAGTCAAAAATTTAAAGAAAGAGGCTAATTAAAAACTAAAACCAACGAAGATCATATAATATACATCGAACTGGAAATGTTAGGAGAGAAGAGCAAATGTCACAACCCGCCACTTCGAAATCAATTGTTTGCGAGTAGTGTTTAGGTCGACGACGATAGAAAGAGTCAATACAAGAATCGATTATTTGCCAAACCCCCCCCATTCCCCCGCCTCTATCCTCCTATTCAACAATCCTCTTCTTAATAATTTTTCTTTTCTATCGATTTCAGCTAATTTATTTTATATATATATATAAATATATATAAAATAATCTTATAGATCCATTCTTTAATAAAATTATTTAAAATTATTTAAAATTATTTTAAAAAAAAAAGATGAAAATTAATTATTCGCTATTATTCGCGGTCTATAACAAGCTTATCGTGTTTAATTTACGCTAAAAGACATATCTCAGCATAATGTTTGGGCTGAGGCTTATTCAAGGATGCAATTTATTTTAAGCGATACGATCTAATCTATTCTTTACGCTGTCTAGGCTAAGGCTTATCAACTTATCAATTTAAAGACGAATTATCAACTTATATTATAAAAAAATATTGCAATTTAGTCTAAATGAAATGCTCTAATCTTAAAACTAGTTAATATTTGTCTTTAAAAAGAAAAAAATCTTTTTTTATCCTTATCAAAATATCAAATTCTTATTAAAAAATCTTTCCATTTCGTAGCTATTCAATAAAACATCAATTTTATTGTGAATTCATTAAAATTTCATTTTTTTTTTTTTCAATTACACTTGAACTTTGATATTTTATTTAAAATATACACACATATAATTTCGATGATTATTGATAATTTGATAAATTGATAAATAATATAATAAAATGTAGGCCGTTTTCTTCAGAGAATTGTGAATATGAATGG